TCTCTCTTCTTGTTTATTTTCTCGTTCTTCTTGTTTCTTTTCTTTTTCCTCCAACCACTACTGTAGTCTCTTTTCTTGTTTATTTTCTCGTTCTTCTTGTTTCTTTCTTTTTCTATCCAACCACTGCTGTAGTCTCTTTTCTTGTTTATTTTCTCGTTCTTCTTGTTTCTTTTCTTTTTCCTCCAACCACTGCTGTAGTCTCTTTTCTTGTTTATTTTCTCGTTCTTGTTGTTTCTTTTGCTGTTCTCGCATTGCTGCCATCAAATCTGCTAAGTTGTAGAGTTCGATTTGCCAGTTCAATACACGGAATTTCCACAGTCCCTTTAACTTCAACACACGCTATAATTCACAACTATTCTCGCACTTTACTTAGGGTCACTACCGCTCACTTGACTCAATTATCTGCCTCTATATCTGTTTATCTGCAAATATATCTTCGCTTTATTTGCCGGGTTTATATACTAAAATAGAGGGTGCCTAGTTAAGACCAGAGTTGCTAGGAACAGTCATGACCCTTCTAGAAACTCCAGCGCGCATTCTTCGAGCGTCACATGACTTCCGCTGTCCCGCTGTCGTAGCATTATGTTATGAAAATAACATTGACATGTATTGTGACATGACTTGTAACGAGTATATGGATATCAAAATGTCTTGTATATAACTTCCGAAGGTGAAAAGATGAAGTAGAACAAATGGAAACATGTATAAACATCTTTTAGTCGTATAAATGTAAAACGTTGTGTATTTATTTGGTTTTAAAATCACACAAGTGCCAAACATTCATACTCAAGCACTGATATTAGTATTGAAACATAAGCAATGCTGAAACTTACTTTAAACTTCTTCCAAAGCATCAAGTAAAAATGCATGAGAGAAATTTCTTTGACAACGTTTATATGTTTCACAATCAGATTAGTTTAATTAATACCAAACCGTTAACATTTTTTTAGAAAACTATATAAATCCTATCAATTTCTAATAGAATAATCATTTTAAACGTTAACGCTAAAAGTTTGTTTATTTAGAATTAAGCACACAGCTACACAATGGGCTATCTATGCTCTTCCCACCACGGGTATCTAAACCCGGTTTCTAGCGTAGTAAATCTGCAGATATGCCGCTGTGCCACTGGGGGGCAACATTAAAAGGCCATTACAGAATAATATTTACAATAGGTAAAAATTTATAACTTCGGATTTTTAATGTCATGAAACATATTACATCTATTTTTTCAATCTCAGAATTCAAACAACAATTTTAGTTCAAGTTTTGGAATTGATGTCAGAATTTTTGTTATTTAATATGTTTGAAGGTTACTTAGCTAACAAAAAAAAAGCAATATATTTATATAAAGTTTAAATATGTCCTTGATAGAGGGCGCCATTGTTTTTATTTTATTTTTTTGTGCAACGGAAGAAAATATTGAAACAGTAGACACTGAATTGGCGAGTTGTTGGGGAAATGCAATAGAAGTTATTATGTTCATCAAAAGAACAGTAGTGACTTATTATTTTCCCACAAAAAGTATTAAAGCAGTATTTGATTAGAAAATGCAAGATATTTTGAAAGATTCAGTTGATGGTAAGCCACCAACAGATGAAGATAATATTTCGGACTCGAACCAAAAGAATCCTAAGCTAAATGAAGTAGAGAGAGAGAGTGCTGATGATTCTGAGGACGACAGCGAAATTTTAGAGGAAAGCCCTTGCGGCCGTTGGCTAAAGCGACGAGAAGAAGTAAGTGTATTTTTTATTTGTTGTTAAAAATATTACGTTCATGAGGCAATTTTTACTCAAGCTACACAGTAAAAATTATATTCCTTTCGTAATCTAAAAAGGTACAACATTGAAACTGAAAAGGAAATAATAGTGTCATTTTGAGTTTACTTCTGATTAAATCATTAAACTTATTTTAATCTAAAATAAGCCTAATTAGATCGTGAATTTGTCAAACACACAACTGTTGTGGGAAGGACCACTTTTTCTCCACTTTGTGTAGATGCTTGCAATGTGTGTGTTTTGAAATCAAATAATAAATGACTGCACTTCATTGTGAATTCAGTACCATGTATATATTTGTCCACCTCTTGCTGAGTGCACCGTTTCACTTCTTTTCAGATCTTGCACCAAATTTCTATTACACTTTCTCTTCCTCAGGTATCCTTTGAAAATGAAAATCCAATTTGTTCACCAAGATTGAATTTCCTGTATATGTTGACAACAAAACAGAGTTTTACTGGTTAAACTGAGGCATGTTTACAATTAAAAGTGAAATGAAAGCTAAACTATGAAGATCTCTGATCAAATGACAACTCCTGTGGTCTTGTGTCATGTAGAAAATCAAAGTCGTTCATCAAATACAACTTAGATCACAATCAAATTTGTTAAAACTCTTCTTGCTATTCTGAATTTGCTGATAGTTAAATTTGTAATTTAAACTTTAAGACATTGAATTCATCTTTTGGTTACAAATGTTGAACATCAATATAAGACAACAATATACTATGAAAATATTGCATCACTATGCATGTAACATCACCAGTTTAGTCCAGTTAAAATGAAAGTTCTGGAGTCATAGCAGCCAACAGGGTCTCACCAGTTTATCTGTGAGCTTGTCCTGTATAAACAAACAACAGTTAATTGTGTGAACAGCGAACTTCATGACAGAATTGATGGGGGGCTCTAATAATCCCTCACAAAACCCATTTTATGGGTGCTTGTGAGCATTTTTGCAATGGTACCCATCAAACGTAAAAGTTTGAAAAATGTTTTTTATCTTTAATCTGATATTGTCAGAAGTTAACAGAAATAATGCTAGTGAAAAGGTCTATGTTTGAAGTTTTTTCTAATATATAACACATGTCATTTCTTGTGTAAAGGATGATAAACTTATGGTCAAAACAAGAACTACTATAGGCTATACCCATGATATATGTAAAAAACAATGACACTTTATTAACATTTTGACTAAATATACTTTATTTCTTTGGAACTTTTACTAAGAACATTGTGTGAAATTATATCAGCCGTAAATTATCCTTTGTACAGTTTGTCATTGAAAAACTCCTTGCATTCTTTAAATATTTGGTGATAAGTTGTATATTCTGTTTATAGCTATGTATAAAAAGAAATTGACACAGTTTTAATAACTTAAATCTATCAAAACTACACCTATCATTAATAATGATGTCTACAAACAATTATCAAGAAAAATCTAACTCTAATCCCATGTCCTTTATCAGTGTAAGAGTCATAGTAATTTATGTATATGAATTATCATTTTGTTAAATTCAATGAAAGAGAAGTAAATACATTTAGTTCAATAATAACATTTCTATTAGGTCTAAGAATCTAAAAATGCACAAAGGTCAGAGGCAAAAACCATATATTGCCCAAGGCAATAACATACAAAGTGATCAAGTTGTTTCCATGTAACATTTGTATACCTCAAAATGTACCAGATACAGCTCGTATGGATTTCTGTGCAATTGCGTTGGGAAACTATCATCCTTATACATTAGATTGAATATGTAAATTGTGCTTTGACCATATCTTCCTATTGGAATGGATAAAAATTATGCTACAAGTCTTTGTCAAGATGAATCGTCTTCAGATAGAATGTGACTAGATGTGGTGACATCGACTGTAATCACATGGTTGAGGTTTTAAAATCCTTTTAATGTAATGTACTCAACCTCTGTATTTCGATCCAAGTTTACATAGTTTAATTTATTTGTCTTTTTTTAGGTACTTTCAATTATAATCAATAAAGCATTAGGTAAAGAATTATTTTGAAACCAGTAACTCATTATTCAGTTGTCTGACCCCTCTCACATTACATAGCAATAAGTCAAACCCCCATTTAAATGTATCATACATAGTGTTAATGCAAAATTGTGCATATTTGTTTAACAAATTCTGCTTATAAAAAATATTTTACTCACCCTGCATACAATTTCTGATATCTGATGACTGTCAGCTGAGTAATGGCAAGACCAGTCACAGGGAAGCCATAACTGTGAACAGGCTCCTTGAATTAGAGCAAGTGGGCAGACTGTGTATATGGTTTCTATTGTCATTGTTTGTTGTCTCTAATCAGAAGATGTGTATGCAATTTTTGGTTACCAGTGCATTCAAAGTATGCATTTTCCAAAACTATCATACAACCTCTGAGGTAAAACCGTGCAGATTCTGTAACTTGGCTAATTACTACTTTGGTTATTGTTTTGTTTTGTTTTCTTCACAGCTGTTACATCAATTGTTTTAGACACTTGTGTATCTGTTATTTTCTATCTCTACTTATTTGTTAAGGACCTGTGTGCATTTTTTTCATATAGAGTTTTGCCATCTACTACACCTATACTGTAGTGGTACCTGTTCTTTCAAGCTTTGCAGATCTCAACCTAATTCAACATTATATCTATAAAAGATGTTTTGTATATTCTTTCTCTATATTTTTTTAGATCATTTAAAATAGTTGCATTGCTCGCAAAACTCATTCTAGAACTTGATGTGGATCTCATTGGAAATTTTTATACAATTCTATATTCCAAATTCTCTCTTTTTTTTATTTAATTAGGTTCAGCAGAGAGATATTCCAAATTCTCACTCTCTTTTTTTATTAATTAGGTTCAGCAGAGAGATATTCCAAATTCTCGCTCTCTTTATTTTTATTTAATTAGGTTCAGCAGAGAGATATTCCAAGTTCTCGCTCTCTTTTTTTTTATTAATTAGGTTCAGCAGAGAGATATTCCAAATTCTCGCTCTCTTTTTTTAATTAATTAGGTTCAGCAGAGAGCTATTCCAAATTTTCTCTCTTTTTTTTTTTTAATTAATTAGGTTCAGCAGATAGAGATATTCCAAATTCTCTCTTTTTTTATTTAATTAGGTTCAGCAGAGAGATATTCCAAATTCTTGCTCTTTTTTTTTTTATTTAATTAGGTTCAGCAGAGAGATATTCCAAATTCTCGCTCTCTTTTTTTAATTAATTAAGTTCAGCAGAGAAAGATTTCAGAACTTGATGTGGATCTCAGTGGAAATTTTTATATACTGTATATTCCAAATTCTCTCTCTTTTATTTAATTAATTAGGTTCAGCAGAGAGATATTCCTGGTATTGATGCCGCTTACCTAGCCATGGACACTGAAGAAGGGGTAGAAGTTGTATGGAATGAAGTGAAATTCTCAGAAAGGAAACATTTTAGATTGCAAGAGGTATTATAAACACTGTGAAAGTATATTTAAAGCTTCTTATCCATTTTTAACTTGATAAACACAAGTAAATGAGGTTCTTGACCTTTCTAAAAATCAAGCAAACTATACATATTACATGTATACAGCTGATTAATCAATACATTTGATTACCTGTTAGCATTGATTAGTGTCATGTAAGAATAATAAAAAAGTACAATGTGTTTTGTTACTGTCATAAAAATAACCAACTAGTTTTTCTAATTATAACTAACCAGTAATCGAAATTATGTTTAAATCTATTAATGTTATGAAAACAATCAACCAACCAAAATTAACATTTCTAAGTATTACTATTTTTGATTATTCAAACTCTTCAGTAATCAAAATATTATCATTGTGCTTTTTCATCATTATTTTTTATCAATTCAGGTTTGTTCAGCTTAATCAATTAGTGTCACAACTTGTAAAAATAATCAGCTAATCAAAATTAGGGTTTTTGATTATTACTATTTTGAACAATTCCAATTGACCAAGTGATCAAAATATTGCCATTATGTTTGTTGGTAAGCACAAATCTACACAATGGACTATCTGTGCTCTTCTCACCTCAGATATTGAAACCCGATTTTGGGTATTATAAGTTGTTTTTTAGCCATCTCGTCTGAAAACAAGGTTAGTTGAATATAATTGAGTAATAAGCCCTACAATTAATCAGTTATAAAATTCCATTTATTCCCCAAGTATGTAAATGTGCAGTTAAGGTCTTATATCTATTTAACATCACCTCCATGTATGTGATCTTGAAATTAAAGAAAATAGTGTAAAAACAATTGACAGTGAATATTGTTTTTCTTTTATGTGGTAAGATCAAGATATAAAATGAAATACACATTTCAAAGTTTATTATTTAAGAAAAGAAAAATCTATTATTTAGGTTAATAAACTTACATTTTTGTAACATTAACAGAATTGATTTTGGGTTATAAAGTTACTAATAATTCCCTATTAAGTTTTACAAGAAAGAATGTACATAAATAAGTAAATATTTAATCAAAAACTTGTGACACGTTAAATTTCACATCCAATGTGAGCAGGCTATTTAATTAGTGGGAATCTTAAAATCAACCTGACAATCAGCATAGCTAATAAAATATACTTTTCTTATGTTTCTGCTTATAAATATTAGAATGCACTATGTCATCAGTTTGTTACTCTTGTGGTTAACAGTATCTTTGGTCGTAATATAAATAATATCTCACAAGGTTTGGCCAACATAGGAGATTTAGATTAGTCTTAAATACATATACTAAGTTAACAAAGCGAAACAATCTTTACAGTAAATCAATATAAAAATTAAGGACATTTGATATACTAAATAGTATAGCCAATGCTGTTAATGAAAGTAAGAATATATGAATAATGTAATATAACCTACATAGTTGTCGCAGAAACACTAGCTGTTGGCTTTAACTGCTGTCACAGAAGTAAAATTATTATGAAATTCTAGACTGTGGTGCCATGGTACCATATGTACTATGTTATATAAAAACATATTTGTTATACATTAAATATAATTTCTTTAAAGATTGTTACTAGATGTACTTTTACAGGGTCCCTGAAAGTTTTCTGTTTCAAGAGCAAATAAAACCAAAATTAAGAGTAACAAAAATTATTTCTTGCTTTTGTAATTCATATGTTGTGCTATGTTGTAGCCTACAGAGTGCATAAGGTTTCTTATCATTCATGGCATAAGCATGTTTTACTGACATTATGATAGTACAAATTGCAGTGTTAAACGTCCCTTATATGACATCATTTAATGTCTACCGACTGACTGACAGACAACACACTAATGTATAGTGGTGTAAGTGGTTAAAACATATGACCTCTCCAGGCAGCCTTTGGCCCTCTTTTGTAGAAATTAATTTTTTTCATCTACAATAGTATAATTACATAATTTTATGATGATTATATGATTTTGGTGTGGTTAGTCAGTTTTGCATTGTTATTGTTTCCTCTTTTCTGTTAGTTAGGAAAGCTTTTATAATCCTGCACAACTTGGTGGACAAATTATTTCTGTTCTTCTTTATTTTTTATGGTGGGATAATACTCCACAAATAAAGACCACATCTCTTTAAGCATTGTCATTTACCACATTCAAGTGTTGAACTCTGTAGTGCCTCCATGTAGTCTTCTCTGAGCTTCCATGACTCATGGTCATAAATCAGAAATCCAGATACAATTTTGAGGCACCTGAAGAAGTCTGTTGTGTTCCTTGTGACAAAATCTTCAATTAAAATGTCCTCAGGCTTCCCATTACTCAGCTGGATGCACTTTAGTTCCTTTACCATTGTCTCTGTGGGTACAGCTGCAACAAAAAGTGCCAAACTAATGAGTTCCTCATTGAGATATTATAGATGTCCAGCCAATTTTTGATGGGCAGATTTTGAAAGAGCAGTTTACCTTCTTATGCTTATCAAGACATTGTGGGAAGTTAAGGTAACTGATAGGAGCAGAAGTGGCGCCAAGAGCAGTGAACCAAGACCTAAGATAGACTCAAACAACAAAGGTGCAGATGTCATGAAAGCATCTTTAAGCTTGAAATATTCCATAAACATTCAGATCTTGAAAGCATATGCCTTAGCCAAATGTTGTACATTATTTAGTGCTTCAGGTGCTTTAAATTGCACTCCAAAAGGAGTGAAGCTACCAAGAAAATGTATGGACAGTTCAAGAAGCTCTTGATAATTGTCTCTGGGTTGGTTCACTTGAAGTTGTCTTGTAAGAAACTTGGTGATACTGTCCTTAACTTTCTCTAAAATTTCTGCTACTTCATATTGTCAGCTTCAGTTTCATAACTGGACTGATTCATGTTTTTCGAAGATTACTGGAACCAATTTAAAATTCCAATATCTGAACCATAAGAAAGCCCCATAAAGTCTTTAAAACACATGCCAAGACAAGTTCCAAGATATGATGCTGGCATTCCAAATACAGAAGATTCTTGTTTAAACTTTGTTTCAACAGCACACATGCTCCATTTCTGTGCCCAGTATTGTTTGCTATTCTGTCAGAGTTAACTGCCTTAACATGATCTTTGACTCGCCACTCTTCCAGCAAATGTGTCACAACAGAAGCTTGAGCTTGTCCAGTGCTAGAAATCAAATTTAGAACACCTAGGAGTTGGTTTACACCTGCTTCAGACAGGATCACTGGCAGATTACCCACTTTTACTTTTTTCTTTGCTTGTGATATCATTAAGGAGCTTGCTATCCAAGTGAACTACAAGTGAGACAGTTGGCTTGAATTGTTCCTTTAACCCGTTACCTGCCATGGCCATTTTGTCTTATTGTGAGGGCAAAATCACATTTGTGAATTGAAAATATTATAGAGAACTTATCTTTTATTGGATTTCAGATTTTATTTTTGTAAATAGTAGCATAACATTCAATTATTTATACAAAATTATATTATTTAATGAAGTTTAAAGAGGAATTTAATGAAAAAAATCCTAAAATACGTTTGAGACTGTAAATAAGCTCCCTCTAAGAAAAAAAATTGTTTTTAAAAATTTTTCCTTCTACTTAAGCACTGGTCCTGCCATCTATGATTGGTAATTAAACCTTTTCTAGTCTGTTTCTTTATAAACAGTGTCTGGG